GTGCAACATAAAATACGGAGACCGGAATACCTGTTGTGATGTGGGTCAGAAAGACCAGAGAATTGTAACAGATCATTTCAAGATTTAAACTCTTGAAGATATTGTTTTATTTCATTTTTATTTCATATAACCGCATTCTATATTACTGTTGGAACGTTTGTCACTTGGTTGACTAAAGATAATCCGGGTCAGTATATCAGCCCACCAAACAACCATGACGAGATGGGCCTTATTGTTTAGTGTAGCAAAATTTAGAAATATGGGCAACGTACATAAATAAAATAAAAATATTAATAAAATAATAAAATAAAATAATAATAATAAAATATAAAAATATTTTTTTGAAATAAAATGAAATGAACTGAAAAATGGTGAACGACTATGTCAGTAGTTATTAAGACGTCATGTTTTGTTTATGTTTATGAAATTTACCCAACATCGTCGTGCAGTAGCTTCACAGCCACGTCAAACCCCCACTGTTTATGTCTGGCCTTGTAGACGCAGCCAAAGCCCCCACTGCCAACGCACGTCCACTTCATCAGGCTGTCGCTGTCAACTGGTTTCGTTGCGTGACACGCAGGCGCCATCTCCTGCTAAAACCGCGAATTACATGACATTAACTTGTGAAAGGGGAGACCGCGATGTCAGTAAACATGAGAGGCAAAAATTACAAAATGCACTAGTGACGAATGAACGTTTTGGCTCCTCATTATTCTCTAATGTTCACTGCTCGTTCTTTGATAATCACATTCACTCAGCATTGTCGTTGCTTCCTTTTAGTCCGGGTATAACATGCTCTGTAGTCTTTTTTACCACATCTGCTGCCAGTCTGCTTAGTTAGCTAGACTGTTTAACGTTATGTTGGTTTCAAAACCTCTTCATATATAAATCAGGGTTTGAAAAAGAAAAAGAAAAAAGGCAGACAGAAAAGAAAACAACATTACATCTACACTTTAATCCCAATGTTCTCGTCAATTCGAAACAATCTGGTTTATACTCACCGTAGAAAGCTATATTAGATGCCTTACAACCTTTTGTATATTTTTTTTTTTAAAAAGCATTATGAAACCATTTCCTCTTTCAGTTCCCTCAGAGTCCCTTTCTGATGTCAGCAGTATTAACCCTTTATAACAAAGCTACATGTTAAAACAGAAGCAAGCTGAAACATTGTGCGACTAGTTTGTGATTAGAACCGTAGATTAACACATACAACAACAACAACAAAGACAATAAAGGTTTGCACAGTGCCCTCTAGTGGAGAGCAACGATCTGTCACATGGCATTGTAGTTTTACAGGGTTACGTCCATATTATTATTATAATAATTTAAATACTTATTATACTTTATATTAATCAAATCTACATATTAATAGTATAAGTATGAATAATTATATAAAAGGAATAAAGAGGATGTGGTGTGATATTCTGTCAGGTGTCAATTATATTTGTTCTTAATTTCTCAACTTAAAATAGCGAAAGAAAAAATGAGTTTAGCCTTAAGTGGGCCAAAATGGCAGCCTCACGGCTCGTTGGTGCCAGTAGACAGCAGCGGTCGATGCAGCATCTATTTTTTTGTTTTGTATATGGTGAGAACTCCTGAAATCCTTTATTTTGGAAAACAATTACCGAGGAAGTGGCTCCATGTCTATGCGCATGAACTCGTGTAGCTTCACTAGCCATTTTTTTTTGCAACAAGATGCTCCTAGGTGCACCAAGTTAAAGTAAGACCAGAACACTACAAACCTGTTGTGTCCCAACAATGTTTTGTTATATTTGTTATATTTTGTTTTTGTTATGTCTGTTCAATTTCGGCCTAATTTTGTTCCATTTCCATTTGTGGGTGTGTTTTACTTTAGTCCATTTAACTCTCCATCTGATTAAACGCAGTATGTCAGTCTTCCCTTGTTTATTGTGTTTATTGTTTGAGTTCACCTTCACTTTGGTTATATTTTCTGATGCTACTCAGGAAATGTTAGGGCCTTCATATCGATAATTATTAGTGATATCGACTTATGACGACACGACAGCATACCGAGCTAAATAACATCAAATCTCCCCTGTTAGAATAGGGAAGCAGTTACTGTTGACTAAATAATTTTGGCAGGAGCGGCAAACACTTTTGCGGAAAAAACAAAATACAAAAACAATCAATTATTTTTCAAATATTTGATTGTTTAATTAATCATTTTTCCTAATATTGAGCAATAAAAATGCTTTTTTTTTTTTTTGCTAATAAAAATGAACCTAATTGGAGTAAAGGTAACAACAGGAAGCGTTTATTCACATGTAGAGCCCGTGTTTACGCTTCCAAATATTTAGGTCTTCTTGGTAACTGCGATTGTTTCTAGGGGAAAATTTTACGTCATTTATCGTCGATTAACCGCAAGTCGGACGTCACTTACAGGATATGTAGTCCAGAGCATGTCAAACCCTGAAAGCAGCGCTGTGAAAGTTGGCTTTGATGAACGCCATTTCCCACAGTGCAGCGGTATGTAACTGATTGCGCAGTTGTCGGCAGCGCGCTTCAGTCGCACAGTTACCAGCTTTACTCATAGGGACGTTGAATGACTTTGTGTTCCAGTGTTTGAGTGTAAAGAAAGTTGCCTCTTTCAGAAAAGACGCACGTTTTTCGCGGACTGATGGAGGCTCTCATTCCTGTCATCAACAAACTGCAGGATGTGTTTAACACAGTTGGTGCAGATATCATTCATCTGCCACAGATAGTGGTGGTAGGAACACAGGTGAGAAACGTCACTTTGTGACCGCTAGCACTTCAGTTTAGCCTGCCATAATTGTTGTCTCGGTTATAATTATACCACATATACCGGTTTCCATTTTCGTTGATAGTGCTGACATCGTGTAGACATATCGCTTGACTTTGCGGCAGTTTTCTTGTGCCTTGACTAACCTTTGAGTTAGCTTTAGCTTCACGCTAACGTTTCTGTCGTTGTGTGTACTGTTCTTTGGAGAATATTTTAAACAAAACCTTCGATATTAATGTGTTTAAATGTTATTTATTAACCGTATATGTGTACTTTAAAAAAATCTACGATTTAAAAAATAATAATAAAATAAGCATTCTGTTTATTATAGATTGACTTTTAAAATTAAAATGTGTCTGACCGTTTTCTTGTTCACTATAAATGTCGTTGATAAGCTCGATGACTTATAATAATGGCGAACAATGCTTAACAACTGTAAACTTAAAATTCTAAAGGTTTTATTCTGAGTATTTAAATCACGTGACGAAACAAACATCATTATGCTATATTAGTGACAGCTGGATTGCCGTGGCACAATACTGGCCTACTTTGTCTATTTTTATCTACATCTGACCATTTCTTACAAAATAGGCATTACGTTCTAATGAACTTAACACCAAATGTAAAGTTTAGTTTTAAACTTAGTCGGTAGTTGTCTTAATTTCAATTGTGTTCACACCCATATCTACAACTCACTCAAACAACTAAATACTGTTACCCGAATTTGTGTCCCATTTGTGTGATAACTCCCAAACTGCTGTGTTATTTATTTTCAACTCTGGTTTACAATTATAATTTTGCTCGTTTGAATGGAAAATAATAGTATTAAATCGTCATACCACCTAATTTAATATCATATAAATCAACAGAAGTTTTAATTACACATTTCTGCATTTTTCCACTTCATTTCTATGTATTAAAGTATGTCATACATTAACCTTTGAATACATTAAAAATCTCAAGAACTATAGTTTCTATTCAATGAAGATGGTGGGGTTTTGTTGACCATCTGTTTATACCTGCGTCCCAGGAATTTGCCCACTTTCACTTACGGTGAAAGTGACCTAAAGATTGTTTTGCTGCTAAATGAGTCGAACCTTTTGCTTTCAGTTTATCCACAATGTTTCTCTCAATTGTCCACAGAGCAGTGGGAAGAGTTCTGTTTTAGAGAGCTTGGTGGGCCGAGACATTCTGCCACGAGGCACTGGTGTCGTCACACGCCGACCCCTTATCCTACAGCTAGTGCACATTGAACCAGAGGACCGCAAGAAAACCAATGAAGAGAATGGTAACTAGAGCGTTTATATATGTCGTATTTTGTAACGTTGTTGAGTGACAAGCTTAATTGGACATGTATAATCCCTTTTTGGGGGGGTTGGGAATTGTCAGGGTCATGGATGCAATGCCTTTAAAATACTGTGAACGGCCCTTAAAATATCTGTATTGGGGTTTTGATTGATGTTTATATATGTTTGTATTGTACAAATATCTGTATTGGGGTTTTGATTGAAGGATTGGACTGGTTCAAATCCTTGCAAGGGCAGAACAATGTTATGTTGAGCAAGCATTTCAAATCTAGCTCCCCAGGTGCGGCAAAGGGTTTCCTGTTTCAATGATGCGTTAAAGAATGAATTTTAATTGTGCATATATGTTTGTATTGTATATATATTTATATGTAAAACACCTGGTAAAGATGCTGCTGCAGCTACTTCTCCCTCTGTTGTCGACGGACACTAAACCAGCTGCGGCGACACCAGCTGTCTGCCCTAAAATCTAACAACATATTCAGCCTTTAAACTACAACGTTTAGTTTTAAACCGTACGTTTTATTTTAGGTCAGAAGAACAGAGCTTCAAATGTGTTCTCATCAAATTCTTCAGCGTGACCCTGCGTTGCATCACGATGTAACGCAGTAGCTACTGGTAGCCAGGCTGATGTTTTTGTCCCTTGTCGTCTCTCTCTCTCTCTCTCTCTCTCTTTAACCACAGAGTCTAAGAAAGATGAACGTTTGTACAAAAGTTTCCTTCTCAGTCCTCCTTCCTGCTGTGTTTGTACATCACATAACATCTCTTTCTTTTGCCCATTCTGCCTTTTGTCTTTGCCCTTTAAACAGTTACAGAGCACGTGGCTCCTCTTGACCCAGATTCTGACTTTTGATTTAAGCTGCTCTTTGGTGCTAAAATCAGCCACGTTTGTGTTTAAAGGAACTGTTACATTTGTTTACATGCTCCTCAAATTCACTCACTATTGAAATTGTTGTCATGTTTTTTTTTTTTTGCACAATCCATTGCTTCTTGAAACACGTTTTGATTTAGTTTATCATTCGAATACATTTCTGTTTCTTTAACAACAACAACAACAACAGTAGTTTCCCTGTTTTTGTGAACTCTTAAGCTGTTGTATTCCATCCAGACATTTCACTGAACAGTTAAAAGCAGCAAATATCATATTTCTTGGCTATACTGTATATTTAATCATTAACACATTATATGTGTTCTTGTTTTATTTACTTTGGAAGGCATTGATGGAGAGGAGTGGGGCAAATTTCTACACACTAAAAACAAGGTAGGTATAAGGACAAACTGGGTTTCTAGTTTGTTCTAGATTGTTAGGTCCAATTTTATTTGTGCGCTTATATATATATACATATATATATATGTAGCAATGTACCGTCTGTGAAACATGTACCTTTTGTTATTTTATTCAGATCTACACAGAATTTGAAGCAATCAGGCAAGAAATTGAAGCTGAAACTGATAGAGTTTCTGGTAGTAACAAGGTATGAAAACTTTTTTTTTTTTAATCTTTACATTTTATGTAATGTGTCCTTTTTTCTTTTTTTTTTTATAACAATGTGTTCTAACTTTCATGAACCCTACAGGGCATTAGTGACGAACCCATTCACTTGAAAATCTTCTCACCGCATGTGGTGAATCTCACGTTGGTGGATCTTCCTGGCATTACCAAGGTGAGATTCGTTATTTCTGAAAAAAACAATATAAAAATATTTATCTATATTTATGCCTCGCTGTGTTCAAACTGTACATTTCTGTCAAGTTGACGTGATTAATAATTTACGAAACCGTTCTGCTGCAGCATCAATTTTTCTAGCTGTAAGTGGATCTAGAATTTTTTTCTTTTTTTTTTCAATATACTCAAGGGAACCAGTTGTTGACTTTTAGAACTTTTTGTATACATTTAAAATGAAAAAAAAAAATACTTTAACCGAAATCACGAAAAACAAACAATTTTATTAGGCTTATAATAGTGACAAATAATTTAAAATTTCCAAAAAAAATTGTTACTCAGCTGTTAATTGCGTGTTAAATAAATCCCCCTTGATTTGTTTTTTTTTTTTTAAATAACATCATTAGAAAATCTCACGTGACTTTTACTCAGGTGACCATGTCATTGTCCCAGCTCATTAAGAGTCTTCTCTGAATTAGGTTCCTGTTGGAGACCAGCCCAAAGACATTGAGGTCCAGATCAGAGATCTGATCCTGAAGTACATCTCCAACCCTAACTCCATCATCCTGGCTGTGACTGCTGCCAACACGGACATGGCGACGTCTGAAGCCCTCAAAGTAGCTCGGGAGGTTGATCCCGACGGTAAATGGACTTCTCCTTTTTTTTTTTTGTATTTACTGTGGTCCTCAGTGTTTGTTCCTCCATATCTCAGCGGTGGGTTTAATGGTCTGTGCCTTTAGGGAGGAGGACGCTGGCAGTGGTGACCAAGCTGGACCTTATGGATGCTGGTACGGATGCCATGGACATATTAATGGGCAGAGTCATTCCGGTTAAACTGGGCATCATAGGAGTAGTGAACAGGTTAGATCGCACTGATAAATGCCCTGTATCCGCTGCATTAAAGGGAGCTGTTCCCTAACAGCTATCCTGAGGTCAGACATGCACGAGCATTTTTTTTTTGTTTGTGTTTCTTTCAGGAGTCAGTTAGACATCAATCAAAAAAAATCGGTAGCAGATGCTGTTCGCGATGAATTTGCTTTTCTGCAAAAGAAGTACCCGTCACTCTCCAACAGAAATGGAACTAAATACCTGGCCAGAACATTGAACAGGTATGGAATTGTAACCCATGTCCATGGACCGGTACTGGTCCCTAGCTCATTATTTTTTCCCAAATAGTACGTACTTCCTTTTGGACCACCAACACTACCAGAATAAAATCTAAAAGATGATTTAATTTGAGACTTTTTGTCCGTGCTGCAGACTTCTGATGCACCACATCAGAGACTGTCTTCCTGAACTAAAGACACGGATCAACGTTCTGGCCGCACAATATCAGTCTCTGCTGAACAGTTATGGAGAGCCCGTGGATGACAAGAGTTCCACGTTGCTGCAGCTTATCACCAAGTTTGCTGCAGAGTACTGTCACACCATAGAGGGCACGGCCAAATACATAGAGACAACTGAGTTGTGAGTAAAAAAAAAAAAAAAATTCCTCTTGAGTTGCAGGGACCTGTACACCCCACTAGGTGTGATGCGGTTGAGATTCTGCCTAAAATGTTGAGTTTCCGGTTTCCCCCGTTTCTCTTTCAGATGCGGTGGAGCACGAATCTGTTATATATTTCACGAGACCTTTGGACGAACTCTGGAGTCTGTCGACGCTCTGGGAGGACTGACGACCATCGATGTGCTCACGGCGATCCGAAATGCTACGGTGGGTAACTGCTGTGTCTTTACCCTAAAAAAAAAAAAAAAATTCTTCTTTAAATTTACAGCTCTCTTGAACTGGGGGTCATGTTGTTCTCAACAGGGCCCTAGACCTGCACTGTTTGTGCCGGAGGTGTCGTTTGAGCTGCTGGTGAAACGACAGGTCAAACGTCTGGAAGATCCCAGTCTTCGATGTGTGGAGCTGGTTCATGAGGAGATGCAGAGGATCATCCAGCACTGCAGCACCTACAGCACTCAGGTCAGCTCACGCATGCAGAGCAAAACATGTACCCACTTGTGCATTCTGACTTTGGATTCAAGCATTTCAGACGGGAGAAATGAGGAGGGAGGAAAAAAAAAGAAAAAAAGATATTTATTTTTCTTTCACAGGAGTTGCTGAGGTTTCCAAAGCTCCACGATGCCATAGTAGAAGTGGTCACCTCATTACTTAGAAGGAGGCTCCCTGTCACCAATGAAATGGTCAGAACCAAGGACGTGATTTTTTTTTTTTTTTTTTTTTTTTTTTTACATGTACTTTGTGTGTGTTTAATTCTCAGGTCCACAACCTTGTTGCCATCGAACTGGCTTATATCAACACAAAACACCCAGACTTTGCTGATGCCTGTGGTCTAATGAACAACAACATTGAAGTAAGACTCGGCATCTTAAGGTCATGGTCCGTGATCTAGACCTGGGTTCATCGTTCATTGTAAACTTCAGCCGCAGAAAAGAAAAAAAAAAAAAAAAATCATAAATATAACATACTATTGATGGAATTGTTCTTGGCAGAAGTTCCGACTGTCAAAACTTTTACTTTTGTCAACAGGAGCAAAGACGTGGCCGAATGAAGGATCTGCCCTCTGCTGTGCCCAGAGACAAGGTAGAGTCTGTCCATTGTCACTGTCACGGTCACTGCTTTTTCGCATGACTGATATTTTAGCTTCAGCTCCACAACTTTCTTCTTTTTCCATCCGCTCTTTTCTGTCTCATTTCCAAGGTGTAGCCCATTAGAATTGCCTGACCACCTGTAACTCCCTATCGTCAAGCCACTGCCTACTGTGTCTTGCACTTGCTAGTTACTTTTTTTTTTTTAAAAACATCAAATACATGATGTTTGTAGGGCGACATTATTTACTCACGTTTGCATTGTTTCTAAAAAAAAAAAAAATTTGCACAGCTATGTAGTACAGTGATCCCTTGCTATAACGCGGTTTACTTTTCACGGTTTCGCTACTTCACGGATTTGCATCGTCCATTGTGTTCTGCATTCTGATTGGCTAAAAAGTCACTCCGCTTCTTCTCTACCTGTGCGCCAATAACGTTGCGGTTTAATATGTACACGTACGTAAAACAGCTTGCCAAATTGACATTACGTACGTGCAAATTCTCTTGCAATTTCGAGTTTATCAAACCCCATAATGTCGACAAAACGCTCTGGACCGGCAAAAGTACCTGCGGTAGGGACCAAAAGGCAGCGGAAGATGCTGTCTATCGGTGATAAAGTAAAACTATTGGACATGCTAAATGAAGGTAAAAGCTATGCGGCTGTAGGTCGGCATTATGGAATTAATGAATCTTCCGTTCGTTCCATAAAGAAGGAAGAAAAAAACATAAGGAAGACAGCAGCAATAAGTTTTAATAAGGATTCAAAAAGGGTTGCAACTGCCCGCAACAAGACCAGGTAATTTGTATTTTTTTCATAATCATTTTTAATTTTCTCCCGTTCACGGTGGGCGGTGCTAATCTCCGCAATTTGAAGCCTTCTGTTCACGTTGATGATTAAAATTATTATTTGACAGTACATTACAGAAGTTATTTGTTGAAACGTTTCTAAAGTACTTTTATTTTACTTTATTTGTGAAACAAATGGTTGAGACTGTAAAATGGTTTGTTCGTTCTTTCTCTTCTTTTTCTGAGTATTTAATTGTAAAAAAAATAAAGATTTCTACTTCACGGATTTTGCCTATCACGGGTTCTTTTTGGAACGTAACCCCCGCGAAAAACAAGGGTTTACTGTATTCACCCCCTTGGATGTTTTACCCTTTTAGTGCTTTCATAAATCAATCATGGTCAATACAATTTGGCTTTTTTAACACAAACATTTATTGGAAAAAACTCTTTAATGTCAAAGTGAAAACAGATTTCTACAAAGTAATGTCAATGAAATAAAAATATATAAAGAAATATAATTGTTTGCATAGTTTCCGCAGCCCGTTCCTGTTTCTAGGAAACTGTCGGCTCGAGAGCAGAGAGACTGTGAGGTCATCGAGAGGCTCATCAAGTCCTACTTCCTAATCGTACGAAAAAATATCCAGGACAGGTAAACAAGTATTCCCATGTGTATTTTTTTTGTTTGTTTTATACTCCCTGCTGTTACTGGCAGGATGATGTTTGCATTTTTGGCTTCTTTTTTCTCCCCCTCTCTCTACTGCTGCTGCTGCTGTGGTGGTGTCAGTGTACCAAAGGCAGTGATGCACTTCCTGGTGAACCACGTGAAGGACTGTCTGCAGAGCGAGCTGGTGGGCCAGTTATACAAGACAACCCTGCTGGACGAACTGCTGACGGAGTCCGAGGACATGGCGCAGAGACGTAACGAGACCGCTGACATGCTCAAGGTAACGCGTTCATTCCTCAGAGCGTCACACCGGAGGACAACGGGGACAGAGGACAATCCGAATGCTCCGTTGAGCTGGGTTTGCGTCGCGGTCTTGTAACGTATCATATCACCAACGTACAAAAAATGACATGAAACAACCGCTTCATTTGGTTGAAAATTAGCTTCAAATAAAGTCCGTAAAACAACCAAAGAAAGAAATAACACTGACTACATATGACATTTGAAGATGAGTCTGAAAAAAAAAATGTGACCAAATGTTTGGTATTTTTTTATATATTTTTTTTTTTCTCTCTCTCTCCTGTGTGCAGGCGCTGCAGAAGGCCAGTCAGGTCATAGCAGAGATCAGAGAAACTCA